CAATGAGGGTGAGGAGGGAGGGCGAGGTTTGGCAGGATTCTCAGGGCTCCCAGGAAATGCCCCTTCACAGGGTGAATGTGGTCAATGGGACCACATGAAGGCAGAGCAGGGGCAGATGGTTTTCTTCGGCTGCTGTCACATTTCACTCGCTTTTCGGGGCTGAGCCCTCCATTGATGCTTTTTTCCCATCTGTAAAAGGGTGGAAAACATTTTCCTTTGGGACCAGGAGAAAGCAAGGCCCGTGTGCAGCTCCAGGGAGCTTCCAGCCGCACGTCGCCTTCGGCAGCTTTATAAAGATTTCCTGCTGAGATTAGTTCTTTCATTTATTGCAAAATATTGTAGCGCTTTCGATGTGTAAAAATAGGGATTGTCCCATCTTATCTCAAAAGGAATGGAGGGGAGGGAGGGAGCAGTGAGTGTCTGTGCTGCTGTTAACCAGTGAGGTGCCATGTGCTGCCACAACATTCCTCTTGGCTTCTCCCCGTGAAGTCCTTGCTCAGGGCTGCTGGCGCTGATCCCTGGGATGTACCCCCTGTACACCCCATGTCCTGCTCCCTGTCCTCTTCCAGAGGCAGGCAACTGCCTCGCAGTGTCTCCTGCAGCATCATGGCCTGGAAATTAAAGGCACAAATTGCCAGTACCTGTGCTTGCCCTCCTCCAGGGAAGAGAGAACACAGACAGGAATTCTGTCCCCCAGCAGGCTGGGGAATACACAGGCACCTGGGTTGTGGGAACAGCATGGAGCATCCTTCCTGGTGCTGGGTGTCCATCCTGTCCTTCCTGGTCCTGAGCATCCTTCCCGGTGTCAAGTTTCTTTCCTCGTGCTGAGCATCCTGGTCCTAAACATCCTTCCTGGTTGTGAGCATCCTTCCCATTACCAAGTGTCCTTCACCGTACTGAGGATCCTTCCTGTTGCCAAGCATCCTTCCTTGTGTTGAGCATCCATCCTATCCTTCCTGATACTGAGCATCCTTCCTGGTCCTGAGCATCCTTCCTGGTGCCATTTTGATCCCACAACTGCTTTATCCAGGCAGGCTGTGATTGCCAGAGCCGGAGCTGGATGCTGCCGCTCTGTGAGCTCTCGGGTGCCCGGATTGCTTCCTGACTGACAGCTGAGCAGCCCCATCAGGTCTGTCACTGCCGTGGAGCCCGGCCCCAAGGGTCGAAATTTAGGGCTGTGCTGTTAACCCGGCCTCACTCCCCACTTTGTAACTGCTTTAGGGCCTTTAAAGAGTACAGTTGAAAGCAGAATTAATTAGGGGGGCCTGGCAGGGTTAATTAGGGGGGCCTGACAGGGCAATTAGGGGGGCCAAGCAGCTGGGTCTCACTGAGCCCATTGTGTCCCAGTGGTGCCGAGGGTGGGGGTAACTGGGAGTGTGTGGGTTTGTGCTGCACAAGCCTTGGATCGCTGGTCTCCCATTAGCCTTGGTCTCTCCTGCCGTAAGGGTGGCTTTGGTTATCTTCCCTCCCCTCCTTTCTTCCCATCTTTCCTTTTTTCCCAGCCCTTGAGGGCTGTGGCTGCCTCCAGGCACGGTGTGGGGATCCTGGCTCCACCAGGGGTGTGAGGGTGCAGGGGATAAGTGGGATATGGGAGAGGCTGGGGATGAAGGGAATGAAGGGGATGGGGAGGATGGGGGGGAAGCTGAGGATAAGGGGATGCAAGGGATGCAGGGAATAAAGGGATACTGGGGATGCAAGGGATGCCTGCAGCGTGTGTACATGTCAGGAGAGGTTTCTGGAGGGTTTCTCCCATCCCCTCCCATCCCTCCTGCAGCTGCCCTCAATCTCTGTTGGACATTTTGCACTGACCCGCTGCTCCAGGCACAGCAGGGTCGGAGCTCCCCGATCCATAAACCGAGATTTATTCCAGATCGTGGCACCGGCGGGGTCTGGGATTTACATCTGTGGCTCGGGCCGGGTTTGGTGGCCAATTTGCTAAAGTAAAAAGTTGTTTAGCTGGAGGCGTAATCTCATAAGCCCGTGCTGCCATTAGCCAGGGTCTCCTCTCTGCCTGGCTTTCCAATAATGCTCCGAGCACAAGCTCGGAGTAATATAAAAAGCCATCGGATTATTACTGCGGGCGATGCATTTTCCATTTACAGTAATAAAATACTGAAGAAACAAAACAATTTAAAATTCCAATAAAATTCAAACCAAATCTTTGGCTGCTGAGCAGATTCAATTATTTAGCTGTTATTGAGTGCAGGCTGGAAAAATAGAGCAGGTCAGGGAGGGAGGGGGAGCTGTGAGCCTTGGGGGGTGCCCAACTCATCCCGTGGGAATGCCAGTGAGGGAGGGAGCTGGGAGGCACCGTAACATCTGGGAGAAGCTGTTGGTGGATGCTTGTTGCTGCCAGTGGCTGGGTTTGGTTTAGGGATGGCAAGAGCCATGGTGGTGGCGTGTGTCAGCCCCCGGGGGTCTGTCGCTCATCCCACCCGGCCCTGGTGTGTTGGCTCCGATGGTCCAAGTTCAAGAGGAGGTGGACAAGGGGGACAAACCCGACGGTGAGTGGCTGTGTCAGAGCTGGCTGTGCCTGAGGGGTGACGAGGTGGCTCGGGCGAGTTTGCATCTCTCAGTAATTACAGCCCGTTGGAAAGCAGTAATTACTGCGGAGAGCGGGAGCGCCGCCGCCGCCGCCGTGCCGGCAGCCGCCGGGAAATCGGGCTCTCTGTAATTTTCCCGGCGGGGGTTCGGTGCGTCACCCTGATATGTGACAACACACCGAATTGGTGGCTTGTCACATCCAACCCAGCTGGCGCAAAGAGGCGACAAAGGCAGCTCGGGGCTCCCTCCAGCCGGGCACGCGCCGGCGCTGGGGCTGGTGGGTGGGATGCGCTTGGCCAGGCTTGGCTCACCAGGACCACAGCAGTGGGCAGTGCCAGGGGGCTGCACAGGGCCGTGCCAAAAGTGTCACCTGCAGCCCCCTGCAGCACCTGCAGTGCTTGGGGACAGGGCTTTGGTGACGTGTGCTGGGGAACTGCAGTGGCTTTGGCGCCCCACTCCCTTCAGCAACAGCCTCTTGTTTTTTAATATTTTTCCTTGGAAAGGAGCGTTTCCCTGGAATGTGCTCATTAGGGATTCTGCAAGTGTCACCAGCTAATTAGTGTCATGTTAATTGAGTATTCACGATGCTGCCACCTCCAAGGACAGCGGTGCCAGCATGAAGGGGAATGCAGATGTGCGTGGCTCGCCATGCCGTGCTGTGCTCTGCCGGTGCTGTGCCATGCCATGCCATGCCATTCCGTGCCATGCCATGCCATTCTGTGCCATGCCATGCCGTGCCACTGGGCAGGGCGGTCCCACTCACAGCCCCCTGCACTCACTGGCCTGGGGGGTGCCCGTGCCCAGCAGAACCCACCATGCACACTCACGTGTGCCCACACACCTCACCAGCTGCTCTGCAGCTGTGCCAGAGTTTTCCAGAGGCTGGGCAGTTGGTGCCCGGGATGTCCCTGGCAGGGCCAATGCCACACACCCCGCACGTGTCCTACCGGAGGGAGCTGCTGGTGCTGTGCCCTCCTGTCTCCCGGCAGCTCCATTAAATCCTACTCAAAGGCACCGGTTTTAATTGGCTTAATACACTCGTTAATAACAGTGTCTATTTAAGACACCTGTAAAAAGCCCATAACATCAGCTTAATGGGGGGAATGGCTGGCGCAGGCACTGCGTCCTGCCTGTTCAATTACTGCGCTGATGGAGAGCTTGGAGAGCACGGAGAGCATGCAGAGCACGGGCAGCATGGAGAGCTTAGAGAGGGGCCACGGCCTCACTGCTGCCTCTCCCAAACCCCCTCTGCTTCTGGGGGGTCACGTGGAGCCCTACGACTACCAATGCTCCCCTCCCCTGAATCCTGGTTTTAACACAGTGCCTGGTTCATCTGAGCATGCCACAGCCATGGAAACATCACTCAGAGAGGATTGGGACAGGAAAGGCCTTTGTTGGGGTGTGGAATGCACCCAGTGGTGCAGCTTTTCTGTGGTGACTTCGCCACCCAGCAAGGGGTGGCATCAGGAATCGCTGGTCCTGGTGGATGGGGAGCACAGTGCTCCCCAGCATGGAGGCTGCAGTCCCCTGCCCCTGGATACAGCGGGGCTCCACTCCCTGGGAACCTCAGAAAGGGTCCCTGGGAGCGCTGGGGCTCCTCAGTGGGGGATGCCAACCCCAACCCCTCCAATTTGACCATCTCCACCTTGCAAAACCTTCCTCTGAGCAGGCACCAGGTCTGGCATGTGTACCCTGGTGTGCCACAGACATCCCTTGGCAGGGCTGGGAGTTTGGGGACCAGCTGGGAACCATCATTCCCATGTGCCGACGTGTACGTGCATGTACTTCTGTGTATGTGTGTGTATGTGTGTGTGTGGAGATTTTAAACACCTAATTTATTCCATCTATTAGATAGATTTTGTAGATTTAATCATTTTCACAGTTGGTGGCTCATTGGATACTCAAGATAAACTCCAAATGAAAGTATAATGGGAACGACAAATGAGTTTTCACACCAGAATGGCAGAAACTTGCTCAGGAAAGAGTTTGAAAGGAACAAAACTATATACATATATAATTTTTTTTTCTGCAGTGGCTTTTGCTGACTCCAGTAGGTTACCACAGTTAATTTCACCAGTTTTGTTCATCTGTAAAATTGCATAAAAGTGACATTTTTGTGCTCATTATAGGAACTGCTGATTTATGGCTGGTAAATGCAATGCTTTTCCATTTTTGGTGAGGTTCTCGTAGCAGCGCAAAGCACCCATGAAATTGCTTGTATAATGTAGTTTAAATCCAATCTCGGAGAAAGATTCCCCCGTTGGGTAAAGTGACATTTCCATTCTCCACACCGAGTTTATTTTAGGCCACTTACAAGTGACTCCGTCAGCGGGAGGGGGCAGGTTGTTGCCGTGGCCTGGTTTCTGCCGGGAGCGGGTGGGATCCGGCGGGGGGTGGTGGGTGCTGGGGCGCCGGGTCCCCTCGTCCCGGATTCACCCTACACTTTGCTCCCGCAGGTGAGACGGTGGCACCGATGCATTCCCCGCGCTACCCCAGCCCCGCCGAGCTGGACGCCTACGCACAGAAGGTGGCCAACAGCCCGCTGACCATCAAGATCTTCCCCACCAACATCAGGGTCCCCCAGCACAAGCACCTTAACCGGACGGTCAACGGCTACGACACCACGGGGCAGCGGTACAGCCCCTACCCCCTGCACGCCGGCGGCTACCAGGGTCTGCTGGCCATCGTCAAAGCCTCCGGCAAAAGCGTGGTGAAGAACTCGGAGGGGAAGCGGACTAAGCTCTCGCCCGCCCAGGTGGGCGTCGCTCCCTACCCCGCCTCAAGCACTTTAGCTCCGGGTCCCTCCTGCGCCGGGCAGCTGAGCTACCACGGCGGCCAGAAGCAGCTGGAGGGTCCTGTGCCCAACGTGACGGTGGCAGCCTCAGTGCTGCCACTGGCAGGCAGGAGCCTGGCCCTGCCACCCTCCAACCTGCCCTCCATCCAGAGCATCATCTACCAGATCAATCAGCAGTGCCAGGCGCAGGGTGCCCAGCCGGGCTGCCCGGCTGTCGTGGCCGCCCACCCCAGCCCGGCCAAGCACGGCGCCTTCGGCACCGCCTACACCGGCACCGTCCTGCCCGAGTGCCGCAAGGGCGCCGACCTGGCGCTGGGCTCCAACCCGGCTGCCGCCCTGGGACCCAAGGCGGGCATCTACCCCGAGGGCATGGACTACCTGGTCTGGCAGCAGAAGCAGCAGCAGCAGCACCTGCGAATGTACAGCGGGGGCAGCGGCGGAGGGGGGCCCTCAGCAAGTCCCCTGAGACGTGTGCAGGCGCCTCGCGCCCCTACGGCCTGGGCGGCGCGGCCGAGAAGGTGAGTTCGTCCCCCTTGAACTGCATGCATGGCAACTTCTCGGTGGGGCAGTACTTCGCTCCCCCCTGGAATAGCATCCTGGTGACCCCCAACAGCGACTGTTACAACCCACCGGAGTTGGGGGCCGGGCCCCGCGAGCTGGGGGTGCCCCCGGCCGAGGGACTGCCCAGCAAGACACTCTGCAATACCTCCATCCTCAGCAGCAGCCTCCAGTCCCTGGAGTATCTCATCAACGACATCCACCCGCCCTGCATCAAGGAACAGATGCTGGGCAAGGGCTACGAGACCGTGTCTGTGCCAAGGCTATTGGACCACCAGCACGCCCACATCCGCCTGCCCGTCTACAGATAAGGGACCGATGCTGCTCTTCCCAAACCCAGGGCGAGGACTTCGGCGCGAGCCGCGCTCCCCTCCGGCACTGCACCGGTACCGGACCGTGGCAGCGAGGGCGGGGGGACGGGGAGGGGGACACAGGGTCGGCTGCCGAAAGGGCTCCTGGGACACTGGCATTTCACTGGGGTCCCCAGACTGGATACACCCGCGACCCGCTGGAAGCCGAGGCCGAAGGACCGCTTGTCTATATAGCTCAGAAATCATTTTATCTCCACGAATGTGAACAGGGAATTGCTACGAGTTGCTGCTATCCAGGGAGGGGAGGCTCTGCCACGCGCTGGCAGCGTCGGGTCGGTGTGGGGCAGAGCCCTGTGCTGTGGCTGGCCAGGAGGCTCCATGGTGGGTCCTGGCCCAGCTGTGTTCAGGAGGCTCCATGGTAGCCAGTCCTAGCCCAGTGGTGGCCAGGAGGCTCTGTGGTAGCCAGTCCCAGCCCAGCCATGGCCAGGAAGCTCCATGGTGGCCGGTGCCAGCCCAGCAGTGGCGGGAGGCTCCATAGTGGCCTGTCCCAGCCCAGCGGTGGCCAGGAGGCTCCGTGGTGAGCAGTCCCAGCCCAGTGGTGGCCGATCCCAGCCCGGTGTGTGGCCAGCGCGTGGCCACCTGACCTGTAGCTGAAGTCCGTAACTTGCACTGCTTTGATTAAAGCTAATAACTGGGGACAGTCTGGAGGCTATTTAAGAAAAACACTTGAAAACTTGAACAGATTTTTTTTTTTTAATTTTTTTTTTTTTTTAGTTGACTAGGCTGTACATCTACGTGTTGGCTGCTACAGAGTCTCCTCCCACCCCTCTTCCTCCTCATCCTCCTCCTCCTCTCACCCGGCCCCGCAGTGGCCACCGGCTCCTATTCCCACTCAACCAGGAGGTTCAGGACCCCCTCTCCCCCTGGAACCCCCCAGCTCTCACACTTCCAGGCTGTTTTATTTCCCTCCCTTACTGTCAGTTCTACCTTGGTTCTGGGTTAGAGGTGACCGCGGTACCAGGGCACTCACATACCTCCTTTTTTTCTCTTTTTTTTTTTTTAAAAACCCCCAAACAATTCCAAAATGCTCATTATGGTCCATTATTCACTCTGTGTAATTCCGTGTTTAATAGATTTGTTCATTTAAAAGAGGCTCCTCACCAGGAAATACAAAGTGTTTTGATGTTTAAAGGTAAAAGAAGAATAATATCCCAATGAAACCCAAGGTGATTGTGCTCAGAAAAGAGGTACTGTATCCCTGAAAGCCTGTTCAAGCACTAAGTGCATTTACAAATCTCTGAGAATGTTTTTTTTTTATACTAAAATTGACCATTATATTCTACTGTGAGAAGTGCTGGCTGCACTATATTGTTTTAAAAATGAGAAAACAAATGGAAAAAAAAAAAAGAAAAAAAAGAAAAAAAGAAAAAAACCAACACAAAACCCGCAAGCCGTGTGTCCGGATGGTGTTTTTCCCAAAGTAAAACCAGGATCTCGCTGGATGTGTGCTCTGGAGTCTCTTTGCTTTGCTGTGGCCTCCCCTGGGCTCCCCCAGAGCTGGGACCTCCCCCTGCTCCCTGCAGATTTTTAGGGCATGGAGGAGCATCTATAAATAACCTGTTAACGACACTGAGCCATTAATCCATCCCGGGCGCCAGCCTCTGCCTCACACCCAACAGCAGCACGTGGCCCAAATCCCTGGGGATTAGGGCTGTGGCCTCACGTGCACGTGTAGGATGCTCTGGGATGTTCGGCCCTCACCACCCCGAGGCCCCAGTGGTGGGCACTGGGATCAGGGACCGTGTCCCCCTCCTGCCGTCACCAGTGCAGTGGTGGCACCTCCGCTGCCCTCCGTCATGCCTGGCGAGTTTCCCACTGAGTTTCCCCCATGGTAGGAGCGTTCCTGGTGCCCAGGTGGGATGAGGGCTCTCCCAGAGACCTGCTGTGGTTGGAGGGCTGCTCTCCCCTAAATCATCCTCCCCTGCTCTGCCCAGCAGCAGCTTCCCGGCCCCAACAGTGAGCCAGTTGCATTAGGATAATAGTATGAAATCCCAAATACTCTGGGCCGTGGATGTGTCTCCCTGGCCTCCATGTCCTGTGGCAGTGACATACAGTGTGTCCTTATCCCGACCAGAGAGTGGGCTGAGGGTGGGAAGGGCTAATTGCCTTCTTTGCCTGGCTGGGAGGGCACAGGGATGGGATGGGATGGGATGGGATGGGATGGGATGGGATGGGATGGGATGGGATGGGATGGGATGGGATGGGATGGGGGTGGGGACAGATATGGGGATGGAGATGAGGATGGGGACAGCGATGGGAATGGAACACGGGCAGGGATGGGATGCGATGAGTATGAGACAGGGGTAGGGATGGGGATGAGGGTGGGGTTGGGACAGAGACAGGAACGTGATGGGATGGGAATGGGGAAGGGGAAGAGAATGGGAACAGGGATGAAGAGAGGGTGGAGATGGGGATGAGAGAGGAATAGGGATGGGATGGCATGGGGACAAGGACAGGGATGGGGGCACAGCCACGCACTCGGAGCTACCCCGTGGCTGTGGCTGCAGCCGGGGACGGCGGCTCCATTTGTCTTGTTTGCTCACCCGCCGTAACGGCGGCGCCGATATTTATGGCGTGGCGGGAGGGGACCGCTCCGTCACCGGCTGCGAGCGGCTGACAGCCGATCCAGGGAACAAAGAGAAATTGGGACAAAAGGAAATTTTCACAGAGGTTAATGTTACTGATGGGGGTGCCACTGCCTGCCTGCGTGTTAAAATTAGTCCGTCTGGAGGAAGATCTTCGCTCAGATCCTTGTCATTAAAGAGATGCCACATCAAAGGAATGTGAGGCTGGAGCGCGGCGGGGCTGGCGGGTCCCTCTGTGCTGGGCAGCCCCTCCCTGGGGGTCCCCCAGCGCCCAAGGGGGGACCCTCCCGAGGCCGTGGTACACGGAGCTGCACTGGGGGCTCCGGGAAAAACTTTGCTCCACCAGCAGTGCCCGTGGGAGGGGGATTCATTAGCGCTGCCTCCATCAGATTTCCCAGCTCGCCATAAATCAGGACGAGCGGCTGCGAGCGACGGCGCGATCCATCTTGCAGGTCTCCAAGTCATTACATTTCATTAGGAGGTGCGCGGGGTTTGTATTATTTAGCAGGTTAATTCTCCCCTCAGATCGCTCCTCTGGAGGAGGATTTCGCTGTGCACGGGGAGACTTCAGCTGTGGAATGCAGAATAAATGGGTCCCTCCTTGGTGGTTCCTGCCTCCAGCTGCAGTGCCGGCCCTGGCGGGCACAGGTGGGCACGTGGGGACTTAAAATGTGACAGGCACTCCTGGGAGATGGAGCAGGGACCACCGAGGTGCATCCCAGCACCCAGGGCAAAGCTACCACAACCCATCACCCTCCCACCCCTGTGGGGCCCAGCTCCCCATGAGGGCTGTGGGAACGTGCCAAGGTAAATGATGCTCTTTCTGGTCTGCAAATATCTTCCTATTCAAATAATAATAATAATTGCAATAGTAATAAAAATTTCTAAGGCAGGTGTGCATGAGGCTGATATTAAACTTAGCGGCTGCCTTTGCTGTTTGGGAGCGAGGAGAGACAAGCAGTATAAATTGCACGGCTGCAAAAGGACTTAAAAAACCCCATCTCTCATTTTGATTGATATTAGCTTCACAAATTAAGCTTTAGATTTATCTAAAAATAAATTTGCTTCCGCGCTCCGCGTTCTGGATGACAAGTGCTTTTCTCTTCCCTTTGTTGGGTTTGTCATCCCTGGCAGGGCGGGGAGGGAAGGGGTGGGAGGGGGCCAGGACCCAGAACCCCCTGCTCGCCGGCCCCCAGGGTGCCCCCAGCCACCCCAGCTGAGGGTGCAACAGCTCAGGGCTTGGTGGGGCAGGGGGTAAAAGGGCCCTGCAGCCCTGAAGGCAGCAGAGGTGTCCTGTGCTGGGATGTCACTGTGATGGCCACAGTGTCCCCGTCCCCACCGAGCCACTGCAGGGTGATGGTGCAGGGTGCTGGGGCGCAGTGACAGCCACCCTTCCCACACCCCAAATCCTTTTAAAGCACACTCACATGCAGCCCCTCAGCTTCGTAACATCAGGATTTGCACAGGAGGGGAAAAAATTGGTTTATATCTAATTTTACTGGAAAATCCCATGTCTGGTGCTGCAGCCCAGGGCAGCTGCAGTGGTGAGCCCATCTCCAGCACGCTGGGTGGCTGAGTTCTCTTCCAGGACTCCTCCAGCCACCCCACATGGCCCAGCCGGGACTGGCCACTGGACCTGTGGCCACCCAACCAGGTGAAAGCCAAGTGTATCGTTTTCACCCAAGAACTGGCCTGGAAGGGGAGCAGCTCAGCTCCTCATTCGATTATGCAGCAGGAGCTGCCACCTCCGCCTCTCCCAAGGAGTGATAATGAAACATATTCATCCCTCACCCTGGGGAAATACTTAAACCACAATATGAGAGATGTATGTAAATCACATTTAAACAGAGACGGTGCCGTTAACGCTGACGGCGACTCATCACATTTGAAGATGAAGTGTCCCCATTGCTGCTAAAGCGTTTGCTGAGCGAGCTGGGCTGCCCCCAGGGCCCCGGCCACGGTCTCTGCCACCGTGTCACTGTTGCCCACTTAAATCGCTCCTTCACAGCTGCACAACGTCCAGCTGTTAAAGGAAAGCACACCTCTGAAAGTGAATGGAAGATGAGGAGGAAAGGACTTACAGAGGGGCGATGGATAGGATGGGATGGGAGTAGGGATTCACGGGGTTGGGATAGGGTGGGGATAGGATGGGGAGCACTGGTTTGTCTCTGGTTCCACTCCCCCACCCCGGATACCCAGTTCCCCCGCCTGCCCGTCGGGTGCGGGTCGGGACCAGCCCGGGCTCCCCGCGTTGCCGCCGCGGCCGGTCCCGCATCGCGCGGTGTGTGGTGCCCTCCAGTGGAGCGGCGGCCGCGCAGCCCCGGCCCCGCACCGCAACCGTGCGCTGCACCTGCACATCCCACCAGTGCACTGCACCTGTAATCCCATCCCTGCACTGCACTTGCAATCCCATCCGAGTGCTCCACCTGCACATCCCATCCCTGCACTGCTCCTGCACATCCCATCCGAGCGCTCCACCTGCACATCCCACCCGTGCACTGCACCTGTAATCCCATCCCTGCACTGCACTTGCAATCCCATCCGAGTGCTCCACCTGCACATCCCATCCCTGCACTGCTCCTTCACATCCCATCCGAGTGTTCCACCTGCACATCCCACCCGAGTGTTCCACCTGCACATCCCACCCGAGTGCTCCACCTGCACATCCCATCCCGAGCACTGCGCCTGCACACCCAGGCCCTGCACCACATCCATGTACTGCACCTGACCTCAGTGTGACGAGTGGCCACTCACTGCCCATGGCTTGGCACAGCACAGGCTGTAACCGGCTCCTCCATCCCTCCCCAGGACCTGCTGGCAGAGCGGCTCTCCCAGCCGGATCAGTCAATGCCAGGAGGAGGCAGCGCTGGCGGGTCAGTCTTTATTACTAAATAAATAGTCGTATAAATCCTGTGCAAAAATCTGTGGCAAAACCATTGGCCTTGGTGGGCGGTGGGGGTCGTGTTTCCCACACCCAGCCTGCGGCCGAGGCTCCCGGCACGGCACAGCCGATGGCCCCGGCGTGGTGAAGGGAAGCGGTGGCACTGGAGCTCATCGGTGAGAGCCGAGACCTCCAACACGGCCAGGGCAGGGCCAGGACCCCCAATCCAGGCTGGACAGCCAGCAGGACAGCAGCTGCTGGAGGGACAGAGGCTGCACGAATCCCTGAGGAGCAGACAAGCACCATCCAGCCCAGTCGCAATTCCGGAGCTGCTCCGGGGGCCCAGGCAGAGTCCATGAGCTCCCAGCACCACTGTGCTAGAGTGGGGAGGTCGGGGCCTGGCCGTGCCGCCGCTCCCGCGGCTCCGCTGTGCCCATGGTCCCCAGCGGCACCACCACCTCCTCCGGCTGGCAGCTCTTGTTGAGCTCCACCACGCGCGGCACCACCGTCGACCAGCGATCTGCAGGGAGGGTGGGAGCTGGCAGAGCCAGGAGCCTGTGGCTGCTCCCTGGTCAGCCTCATGTCACCTGGCCCCCAAATCTGCTTCCAGGGCCCATCAGAAGCTGCAAGCAGCATCCCAAGGGATGCTCCCAGTTCACAGCACCATGCTCACCTTCCCACAGATCCCAAGGGATGCTCCCAGCCCACGACACGGCACTCACCTCTCCGCAGCCGGCCCATGGTGTGGGAGAAGCCGTAGTACTGGTATGTTTCATTCTTGCCTGGATCCTCGCTGATGATGCCCAGATTCTGGTTCCAGTGGGACCAGTTCACCTCGTCCACCCTGGAGGGAAGGTCAGATCCAGAGGGGCTGCAGAGAGCTCCTGGGAGCCAGAGCAGCAGCTC